GATTTTTTGATGACTCTCATCATGAGGATAAAGGCGAGCTCACTGGAAATTTTCTCAGCATGAGAACATGACACTGACACAGAACGCATCTCTGACATATCAGAAGACTCCTTGAGAGAGCCTGAAACGCTGGCAAAGCATTTTTTGGGAGAAGTGCTCCCTGATTTTTGTGTTTGAGGCATCTGATCAGATGCCACAAATGAGTTTTCTGGGGAAATGCTCCCAGATGTTGGTGATGGAAGTGATGGAACAGAGTCTTTACCACTGCCATCTGAATCTGTGCTTTTTGTCTTTGTCGGGGTCCTTGTTCTTTCAATAACGTTCTGGATGTCTTCCACCACCACAGAAACCTTGTCCTCAATCATTTGATTTTTGTCTTCGTTCTCCACCCAGAGTAAAAGCTTTTGTAAAAACTTTTGTACTGCGTCTTCTACGAGGACGTAGAGGACTTCAGCGGAAAAAGGACGCTTTGAGCCATGTGTTGGTTGTGGAGTCCTGGAGATGACTGTGTCAGAGAGGGATCTACCCATTAGAGGCTCGGGGATTTGATACAATCGATCCGTCATAAGTAGATCAAACACTTTCCCTGTCAACTCCACAGTAAAATCTCTGCTTGCCCCACTATTTATAAAGTCTTCCAATCTTTTATGGATGATGAAGAGTTCTTCTTTCTTTGTTAATTTGTCAAACAACTGATCAATGTCTGATCTAATGGTGTCAAATTCAACTAGAGAAGAACGTATGTAGCGAAGTGTGTTTCGGGAAGGGGCTCGACTGAAAGGGGTACTGAAAACCATACTTTCATCGGAGGACACTGTTTCATACTTTTGGAACCTGCACATGTTTTGTAGACAAACAACAAATTTCCTGTTTGTCTTTATTACTTGTCTCAGCTCTTTTTTCAGTTTTTCAAACTGTTTTTTCGCAAACATGGAAAAGCGGTGTTTGCGTGCTTTGAGCCAGGAGTGTGAGGTGGATGGCAAACATTTGGAGAAGAAGTCTCTCACCTTGTTGATAATTAATCCTGCAGTAAAGGCAGGTTTGGGTAAGCTACATCTCTCACAGAGCTCTTCACTGCTTGAATGCATGTTACCAAGTATCTCATTTATGATGTCAGCTGCAACCACTTCTACTGGGGTTGGAGCTCGGATACTTTGGCTTTCTGCAGTTGATGTTATTTTGTCTTGTTCTGTTCGAACTGATTCTTGTGGGAGCTCGAGTTTTTCCTCATCCTCATCTTTTTCTGTCATCGCTCCATCTGAGCTGCCTGATGACAGAATCGCAGAAATTTCTGCGATTGCTGATTGCAATGGCATCTTTGAATCCGTACTTTCTGTACCGGAATCAGACCCTCTTGACAGGCACCGGCAGCGCAACTTACGTGCTACATGCATTTTAAGGCACGAGGCAGCGTGACAAACCATGCGGTGCAGCTTTTCAATATTACTACATTTCCCGCTAACATAAACGGCGGGGTCTTGCGGGAGATCGGGACTTTTTGCAACGAGTTCAATTGCTGAGTTGAGCTTTTCAGAGATCTCTTCCTCAACCATCCGTGTCAGCTCGTCAGCGCTCTCGTGTCGCTGTTTTGGGACATTAAGAGCGCTGGCGATGGCGGCTGAAATCGAGTCTCCGAGGGACGGGCTTATTTTCCCCGCATCTAAAGGCTCTTCCCTCGTCATGCAATCCTGAATAATAGGAAGGGCTATTTTCAGGATTCTGCTAGAGGCGATCTGAATGATTTCACAAATCATATCAGCGAGCACCGCTCGGACGCCCGAGTCGCATGTGCCATTTTCGATCATGCTCCACTGAACTTCAGAGAGCCTTTCAAAGCACCTGTTGATAGGTGGCATAATATGGTCTGCTATGACCACGATTGAAATCTCATTTTCGCTGTGTGTTGCCATTATCGTATCACTAAAATTTGATTTTCTTCTTTTGAGAGAAAGGTGTGAGAATTTTCTTGTTTTAGAGAACGCCGACTGTTGAACGTTTGCAAACAGATAAGCAGTGATTTGTCTGTGTGAGAGCCCCTACTTAAGGGTTTAGCTGCCTGTGACGTGGCTGACGGATCAAAGCAAAAGCGAATTCCTTTGATCTGCCAGTGACGTCACAAAGAAGTCGTTGGCCTACTATATCCCAGGATTCATTGCGAGTCAGTTTAAGAAAAATGGCGGACGGCCGAAGCGGTCCAGATATAAACTCGAAAGTAAGTACTGGGCTTTTATCCCACTTCAACTATACAGCGGAACAAATGTTAGCATAATGAAAAGTCTTAAAAAGTCACATTTAGCGAACCTTCGGCTAAGTTACATGACGTTAGTGATATCCCCACTTAACGCGGCTCTTTGGTCGGTTAGCTAGTTTAGGTTTCTGCCGAAACTCGGTCTGAGTCTGTCACCTTTGTTATAAAGACCAACACTCTGCAGGATCATGTCCTGTTTCTCCTTCCTCTGATTAAAATACATTAAGTTTGTCTTTGTGATTATAAGAGAAAACAGTTTTCATCCTGCAAGTTGGCAGATATTTGATAAACTTCTGCTGTTTTTGTTGCTAACTGCCTTGGTTGATTTCCTTCTGCAAGTGTTCAGAGTCAGAAGAGACTGAGAAGGTGAGAGGAGTCTGGGCAGATGCTCTCCACCCCTGATGAGACATGAGGATAGACCCAGGACATTGTGTGAGGAAGAGGAGGAGAAAAAGGAGCAAGCAGCAGCTGAGAGATGCAGAGGAGAACGGGGGAGTGCAGACAGCTCTCTGTAGTTGAGGGACTGGTAAAAACATTGAAAATGCTGCTCCTGTAACAGCTGCATACAGGGAACCACTCACTGATGTTTATCCTACAGGACAGGATCTGACTGGGAAAGAAGGAAAAATAAGGGAACCACGGACAACTTTTATAATGCTTTGATTTATCCAGAATATATTCAGTTCAAATATTGTTTTCATCACAGTAGGATTTGCTGGTTTCAGTGGGGAAGGTATGCAGCTCATTGAAATACAAAGAGCTGTGAAAAGTTGTCCATTCATAAAGTGTATTAGCATTTTATAAGGATGTAATGTTTCTGTATCATTTCTCTCCTTTTAGAGCCTCTTACCCAAACATCAGCCTGTTTAGTGCTCTCATATCTTCAACATCTTAAGTAAGTTATACTGAACAGTTTTCTCATCAATAAAAGAATATTTACTGCATCAGTGTGTCTTCATTTCATCCGAAACACACAAGGATCAAATCTCTGACTTTATTTTAATGTATACCTTATAGATTCCCGTGGGGGGAAATTCCTCTCTGCATTGCCTCAGGGTAGCCACTAATTTGAATGTAATTTTCTCCCAGATACATCACACAGAGCTGAAATGACAGTTTTCTCCGCTAAAAGTCAAACAAATGACATCAAATAAAGATTTTCTCTATTTCTGTCCAACATGCCGTCCACCACCGCTGTAGCTGTCACGGTTGCTTGGCAACAGAAACTGTTGTAGGCTAGACCGTCAATTCACGTCAGGTCTTCCCAGCCTTCAAAGGATCCGACTCTGTGACTCACAGTCACCCTGGTAACTCCCAATAGCTGAGCTACAAGTACTGATAAATGTTTCTCTGCACACTGTAAAATCTAATATTGTGTTTAATTAAAAATATTAAGAAGACTGAACTTTTAAAAAAAAATCTATTTGTCATTAGAACTCAGTTTAAGTAAGCTAGCAGTTCAAGAAGCTGATCAACTCAGTTTATTTGAGTAGTGTTAAATTATAAAAACTAAGTAAGCTTTGTAAAAACATGGATCCTGACCATCCTGAAAAGTTGCCGGAGGTACTTGATCCAGTCCACAGGATCGGTCAACAACGTAAGTCCTCTTCTGAGCTGAGTCAATAGTAACACCAAGGTTCCTGATAGAAGGTTTGGCAAATGTAACAAGTGGACCCAAGTTTTCCATAACAGTAGGTACAATTTTTTTAGGAGCACAAACAAGGACTTCAGTCTTCTCCTCATTTAGCTGAAGAAAGTTTTCAGCCATGCAACCTCTAATGGAGTCTATGCAAAATCTGTAGCTTGGAAACATCTTGGGGCTTAAAGGAGATATATAACTGAATATCATCTGCATAGCAGTGGTAAGAAATATCCTTAAAAGTGCTCAATAAGTGCTGAAGAGGAAGTAAACACAACATTTCCAGCTCATTCAACATTTTTAACTTAACATTCAGCAGTTATTTCATTTGAGCTCAGAAACAACTATCAGCATTCACACTGCAGTTTCTTCAGAAAATTCATTTTCTAGTATTATTAATCGTGTGCTTTTGCAAATAATAATAATAGCAAGAAGCACCTACAACAGACTGCGCACGCGCAATACGGAGGTTAATTTGAGCCATTGCTTCTGCAAGTTAAGTTGAGAAAAATTATAATTTCTTAAATACAGAAGCGTGACACGAGACAGACCCACAATGTGTGGGATAAGAAGTGCAGACACGAGAAACTAAACGTGTTTTAATTGTGTTTTGAAACGCTGAAAGGTTTTTTCGTGATTGTCACTGCACCTTTAAGATAAAACCACGTGACCTTGTTTCTTCAGCGTCATATCCGGACGTAGACTGTCAGTGCAATGTTTCCATAGACGTTCTGTTATCAATGGAAACGAGGAAATCCACATTTAATTAGCTGGCACAGCAACGCCAGCTGAAGCATTAAATGTCTGGTTTGTCCACATAAGTAAAAAGAGTCATCGAGTTTCTTCTCGTCTGTGAAGAAACTGCAGTAACTACCGAGTACCGTAAGTTCAAATATTGCTACCAAATTGTAGAAAAATAGCTAAGTATGCTCGTAGCCTATTGTAGCGCCAATCTAGTTTGCATCTTTACTTTAAAGTGTAATCCTCTGGGTAAAACCTGCAGTGTTTACCAAGAGATCAAAGATCATATTTTACAGATGACTCCTAAAAGGTGTTTCACAGCACAAAACTAGCACATGTGGATCCGTTCAGCTGCTGGACTGAGCTAGCAGCTGTGTGACATTATGATCACGATAGCCTTTGGAGCAAGAGGAGCCCTCCTCAGCTTGAGGTGCACTTTGCAGAGAGCAGGCTCCTTTGCAAGACTTGGACTGATTCAGAACACCAGATCCGGTTTTGTTAGAAGGGGGCAGATTTTAACCCGCATACCCAAGATTACACTGCTATGTTGGGGTGCAGTCAACGGTTCTTTAAGTGCAGTCAGATGCCAGGAAGCTCTTGTTCAACCCCAGGCTTCGGAAAAAAAGTCTTTGGCTAAAATCCAAGTGCACAGATTTCTATTTTTTCTTCGCCTCAGCTTCCGGGCGTTGGTTCTGCTCTTCAAATTTGTCCCCCTTCTTCTCCTTTACCCCTTGGTTCTGGTGTTTACCCGCTGGATGCCTCATTGGCTCGATGCTTTGCTGTGGGTGACTGAGACCTCTGGTCCTACTTTCATCAAGCTGGGGCAGTGGGCTAGTACTAGACGAGACATCTTCTCTCAAGATTTCTGCAACCGTTTCTCCAGGCTCCACGTCAAGGTACGCCCTCACTCCTGGGCTCATACCAAGCAGTGCCTCCGGAGGGCTTTTGGGGAGGGCTGGAGAAGGGTTTTGGTGTTTCGGAGTAAAGAACCGGTGGGATCAGGATGCATTGCACAGGTATACCGAGGCTGGGCCAGGGTGGACCAAGTGGAGGACCCAGCTTTCCAATCAATAGTAGAGGAGATGGAAAAAGACGATTTGTTGGAAGCCTGGGAGATCCCTGGTTTAGGGGGCATGGCAAGATCTCTGAGGCAGCTCTGGAGGGGGAGTGGGGAGGAAGAGAGCAGTGAGGACAAAAGTCTTCTAGATGGTCAGCAGGAGGAGCGCCTGATACCTGTGGCAATCAAGGTCAGTCTTGCAAGATTGTTTCCCCTCCTACAGATTCACATCACAGTCACGGAGTGTAAATAAAGGAGAACATGCTGTATGATTTTTTTTCTTTTTTCTTTTTCTTGCACGTTATGTTGGGTGTGTATAAATTGTATCCGATTCATTGTAGGTGGTCCATCCAGGAGTGAGGGGACAAGTGGAGATAGACCTGTTGCTCATGAAAGCAGGTAGTTGGCTTCTGCACTGCCTGCCTGGACTCAAATGGCTCAGTATGTGTGAGATAGTGGAGGAGTTTGAGAAGCTTATGACCAAACAGGTGATGTAAAAATATTCAGACTCCTACATTTAACCTGGCACAAGCTTTTTTTGACTTTGCACATGACTTTTAAATAGAGCTTTAGCATTCTGTGTACTAAGACAGGTCACAGTTAGGTGCGATTTCCATGCGTTTTAGATTGATCTCCGTTTTGAAGCCAGAAACATAGAGCGTTTCCAGACGAATTTCCGTGATTTTGATTATGTGAAGTTCCCTACTCCTTTGCGACCATTTGTCACCAGAAGCATCTTAGTGGAAACCTTTGAAGTGAGTATAATGATCTGCAAGTAACTGAGGTCATTAAATGATGACAGCATAGTTCAGTTAATATTCAGCCTCGTTTTCAGGAGAGTGAACCCATTTCAAACTACTTGAGCTCCGAGGTACCCAAGGAAGTGAAGCAGAGGATAGCCAAGATGGGAGTAGACACGCTGCTGAAAATGGTAAGATCCACAACCCAAGGCAATTGGTGTAAACAATAAATGTTTTATATACTTAAGGATGTGTGCAGAATGCTATCATGTGACAATGTAAACTTCTTTATTCCAGGTTTTTTTGGATAACTTCGTCCATGGGGATCTTCATCCAGGCAACATACTTGTCCAGTGTCAGGGTCCCCTCGCTGGATCGGGAGACGGTACTGGTATTTCAGGGGAGCACCATGGGAAAACCACGCTCACTGATTTGTTGGACACGGTGGTGGTCAGTGTCAGGCCACCGCCGTGTCCTATCCAGCTGGTGTTGTTGGATGCTGGCATTGTAGCCCAGCTCAGTGACCGCGACCTTGCCAACTTTAAGGCTGTCTTCACAGCTGTGGTGCTGCGTCAGGTAAGAACCAATGCAGGAAAATTTTATAGCTTCTTTAAGATGTACTTTATGCCATTTTATGTAAAGTGCCTACAGCACTTGGACTAAGTGTTGTGGGGGTGTCTGAATGAAACTGTGAAGAACATCAATGTATAAGCTGCCTAAATGTGAATGAGAACAGTCTTTAACTAATCTGCGATGACGATAAGTGTTTGAACAGTGACACAGCTTTGGTCATTTGTACACCACCACCCATGAAACAGTCACAGAATTTTTTGTGTGGCTTTTTTTTTTTTTTTTGTTCCAGGGTGAGCGTGTGGCAGAGTTGATTCTGAATCATGCCCGAGCTAGTGAGTGCAAGGATGCCGCGCTGTTTAAAAAGGAGATGGCAGAGCTGGTGGATCATGCCCTCAGCAGCAACACCCTCTCACTGGGAAAGGTATGAACCAACATTTGCATTGTGTTATGACCAGGATGATGATGGTGGTTAATGTAATACAGTAGAAGACATTATAATATTATAGAATACTTTTATTTTTAAATTTAGCACTCCTTTTGTGATTCCAGCAACTTGATACATGTCTATTTTGTATCTGTATTGTTTGCTTTTAGAATTTTTAATCACTTTCCTCTTCACTACAACTTTCTGATAAATGAAAATGTGTAGATAAAATAAATTGGCCTCAACATAAATTCATGCAAAACTATTCTTATCTAAAAAGCTTCTAGTGAAGTAATAAACTGTACGAGAGGCCTGATCATAAAAATCCAAAACAAAAGCTGTTGTGAATTTGGCCAATCCAAACTCAGATCAGTTATTGGTTTTCATTTTTGTGTGTGGAGTCAATGTCTTTGTCGTATTTATATGTGGAAGTTACGTAAGCTATGAGAAAAGTTTCTTGATTTATCTCAATCATCCAGGAAAGTAAATCTCCAAAAGTTGATTCTGTTCATCTAGACGTAGCGTTTTGTGGGAGAAACATTTCGTCACTCATCCAAGTGACTTCTTCAGTCTCAGCTGACTGCAGGTTTCCCCAATCTTATAAACAGTACATTTGCATAATGACTGAAACCAGCCCACTGAAGGAACAATGGGCTGGGAGGTCAGTTCCTTAATCCTCGTTGGGATCCTAATTCCTGTGGCATGTTAGCCTTCTTAGACTGTGAGATTTCCATCAGTAATGGGGGACATCTAAAAGCTGACGTGTACCGTAAACCTACACATACAGATCAGTATTTAAGGTTTGACTCTCATCATTCACTGCACAAACTGGGTGTCATTAGGACGCTTCAACACAGAGCGAACACCATCCCCACAGACACAGCAGCCAGTGAGGCAGAAGAACAGCACATCAAGAAGGCCCCGAGTAAATGTGGTT